CTACTACTACTACTACTACTCGTCTACTGCTACTGCTACTACTGCTACTGCTGCTGTGACGACCTGGTCCTATATACTCCATAACGACGACGACGACAACGACGAGGGCCACTACCACGGCTGCGCGTAGCAGTACCATTGGTGTTGTTATCATCTCTATTCAACTTCCACCTACTTTCTCCTATTGTTGCCTGTAGCTGCAAGTTTTCCGGCTCTTTTACTGTTATGGCTGCAGCTTCCTCTTCGAACCCTAGATACCAGACCCTAGAACCCAAGCCCTAAACCCTGAACCCTAGAACCTAAGCCCTACAACCCTAAACCAATTTTAAGCGAGCCCCGATAGATCCTTTTAGAAGAACCCCTAGAGATCCCTTTAAAGGACGCCCTATAGATCCCTTTAAAGGAAGCCCTAAGCCCTAGCTGGGCTGAGACCATCGGAGTCCCAGCGGCGCATGGACTGAAGGACCTCCATCGGATGGACCCCCTGCTTCGCCAGCTCCTGGCATCGGCTCTCTGTGGCTCCTTTGAAGGCCTTTTTTTCAGGGTTCCGTAAGGGCTACTGTAAGGGCTTCTTTAAGGGCTCCTTTACGGGCTTTTTTAAGGGTTCCTTGAAGGGCGTCTTTAAGACTTCCTTTAAGGGCGCCTTTAAGGGTTCGTTTAAGTCTTTAATTGCTTCTTTTAGGGGTTCCTTTTAGGGCTCCGTTAAAGGACCTTCGGGGCTTGATGTTGGGGATTGAAGGGTCTGGGGGCTTCGAGGCTCGTTGAGTTTCGGGATGTTTTCGGGGGGATGTTCGGGGCTGGGGTTGTAGACTGACAGACTTTAGGGTTTTGCCTTAACCTACATACCGCATCATGGAACTGAGCCCTACCTTAAGAACCCAAAACCCACTTTTTTGTAGGTTCTTATTATAAACCCTAATATTGGATTTATAGGGACCCTACAAAAAAGTAGGTTTTGGGTTCTTAAGGCAAACCCTAAACCCTAAAACCTAAAAAAGGGTAGATTGAAGAGCTTAGGACCGAAGGACCCTGAGCGCTCAAACTCCAAACTTCGGGTTTCGGGATCAATGTCTTTCTTGGAGGTGCAATGGGTACTTGTAAGCAGGGATATAGGTCCCCTTATATGGGTTATAACTAGTGTTACCGTACTTATAACCCACTTATAAAACTACCCATCCCTAAAGCCTAAACCTAAACCCTAAAACCCTAAACGGTGTACCCATGAACCTCCAAGTTGACTAATAAACCCTACACCCTAAACCATAAACTTAAAACCATAAACCCTAAACCCTAAAGCCTAAACCCAGATCCTTAAACCCTAAACCCACATCCCTAAACAGTCTTGGGGTGCTTGCGCTTGTGATCCCGCGGTCTTTCGTGGAGACTTCCAGTCATTATCCTTGGTGAAACGTTTAGGGTTTAGGGTTTGGGGTTCAGGTTAATTTGGGGATTTTCGCGACAAGTGGCACAGAATGATATAGGCGGAACCAGGTGCCGGTAAACACCTCTTGCATCATGGCAACCGTGTGGGGGGCACAACCACTGTCTGTCAGCTAGGGTGGCAATCCTCGACAGCTGTTCGCGGAGCTCAGCAAACGCATGCGCCGGAACCCCAAGACGTGTGAAGAGGCGCAGCAGTACCTTGTCCTCAAGCTCGGCCCCCGTCAAGCACTCTCGCAGCTCTTGGTAACAAGCTGCTCTGACATCGTAAAGCACTAGCGCCGGCAAACATCCTGACCGACCGACATGGGCCTGATAGCACTTAGCCGCAAGTGATATAGTGTCCACTCCAATTCCTTCGCGGACGCCTGCATGGAGATCGGGGCAAAAATGCCGTAGCGCCGGCGTGACATTGTCCCTGAGCTCTTTATGAGAGAGCTTGCCCGGCACGCTCGACAGCAGGATGCTGCGGTACTTGCCACATCCAAAGGCAGCATCTGCTTTCTTAGCCAAAGTCATGACCGCGCCGCCTTTGTACTCGATTGGCTCGCGAATGGAGAGTCGAAAATGACTCCACGCTGTGAGACACTGCAGCCTCAGGCAAGGAGGGCTCCACTGCGAATGTACAGCCTTCAGACTCGGCGGGTCGTGGACACAGTCATGGAACAGCAGGATCATACAGTCCTGCAGCTAAGGTATGCTAAGGTTAAGCGGCGATCTGGACAGGGGACGCTCCTGACGCAGAAGCGCTCCAAGCGGGGTTGAGGCTTTTTGGGGGGCCGAGCCTCGAGAGTGGCCACGACCTCGAGCGTCCGAATCCTCCCGAGGGGCGCGGCTTCATTTAACCCGCTCAAGGTGCACCCGGCCTTCGCTGCAAGATGACACTGATCTCGCCCTGCAGCTGGGCGAGCTCTCCCACCGTCAGCTCCCCCAGTTGGCGCTGTCGTTCAGTCCTGCGCGGCAAGGAGTCTGGCAACGCAGCTTGCAAGCTGGTCCGACCTGTCGTCTGATGCGAAGGTTTCCCGCAGCGTAGGCATGGCTCCGTCCTGCCGGGTAGCGGGCAAAAAGGGACTCCAGCCCCCAATCCGCGTCCAGCGGTCCTTCCAGTTCCAGCGCGCCGGGTGGAGCGAGTGACGGCTACGGTTCTGTGATCCACGGCTCCGGAAG